CTATCTATCTATCTATCTATCTATCTATCTATCTATCTATCTATCTATCTATCTATCTATCTATCTACCTACCTACCTACCTACCTACCTATCTACCTATCTATCTATCTATCTATCTATCTATCTATCTATCTATCTATCTATCTATCTATCTATCTATCTATCTATCTTTTAGGTTCTCTGCAAAGGTTCATAGACACAGAAGAAGTTCTTGTTTATTTTCCACATAAGGTGTGGAGAAAATGTTCCCCATACAGCATACAGAAGTGGGACAAAGCCTAACTCTGCTCACAAAAGTATAATGGAGCAACGGAGCCGGGTCAATGGAATCTTAGTGAAGACAGTGGCCAATCAAGGGTTCAAAAGGTTAGTAAAATCCTCTGCTCCGGGCCAGTGAGATATAATCCTAGTGGCTGTTCTGAGTGGACAGTTGTGGTTTGATTTAGGCTAAGTGCTCGAGGAATGATGCATGATTTACTGTGGGAGGTAAAAAGAAAATAATGAATACTTTGTGGAAGTTTATTGAGATTTGGGTTTTGTTAAATGAAGGAGACACTATGTTCTCAACTGTGAACAGTAAACTTGCAAGTAAGTTTACCAAGCAATTAACTTTTACGTGGTTTTTATTGTAGTGTTCTCTGGCTAAAGGATGCAGTAAAGGTGGTGGGGGTTTTGGGGGGAGGGTTGCAAAAGAGCCGGGATCAGCAGCAGTATGCTGCCCAGTCACCTAACATGGCTTCTGCTGGCCTCCCCAAAATCTCATTAAGATTTAGATGCCTCCAACACAGGGAAAGAATGCTCCTTCCTCAAGCAGAGATGAGTGTCACCCGCTCAACAGAGGGAAAATCTAAAATGCCAGGAAACTGAGTTAAGAACAGATCATCCACCTGCTCATAAAATAACTCTGATCCACCTGTCTTTCTGTGCTTGTTTGTGGGACGTGCATGCACCTTTCTGATTCGAGCATGTGCTCCAGGTGCTACTCTGCCGCTAAGCCTGTTTCTTTGACCCCCTGAATCAGTAGCTTAGTTAGAAAACAGGGAAAAGGAAATAGTGCCACGTTTTCTCCCATCAAAAAAAAATCACATGTGATAGCATGTGACTCTACCAAACCAAAGTAAAATATTATTCTTAAAACCAACTAGGAGAGTTAAGTAGAGCTACCATATCTGAGATACAAAATCCAGACATCCATTAGGTGGCAGCAAAGAGAAACAGACAAGTCTTTGTCTCTTTGGTGCTATCTAATGGCCATCCAAGTATCTGCAGGCTAGACATCACGGCCAAATTTACAGAAGCACAGTGTAATGCTGATGCATCCTTAGTGTTACTGCCAGCAAAGATAAGAACAAAATCAACATCCGTTGCCTTTGCTATCACTGAGCCCCCATTGCCTTACCAATCCAATGGGCACTGGCAACCACCAATTGTATACAAACATACAGAATACACTGCAGTGTTCAATGACATTTGCTAGAATTTTTTTTTTCTTTTAAATGCAGTATGTAAGTATTATCTAGATATAAGAACAATTTGTCACAGCAGTAGAAATAAATAAGTATATATACAGCTTAGAAAACTGAACTTAAAACCAAGAATAGCAGCCACATTGAATCAAAGAATTCCTAAATAGGCAAAGAAATATTCAGTACCAGAAATAAAAGATCTCTCTGTGCAGTTATGGAATTCAACACAGGTATTTGAATCTTAATGCTCATCAGATAAGCAAATTATAAAGATACGCTTTAAACAGAACCTACCAAAATCGGCAATCTTGGCATTCATGTGTGCATCAAGCAGTACATTTTCAGGCTTCAAATCTCTATGGACCACCATGTGCCTATGACAATAATCCACACCAGAAAGAATTTGCTGGAACAGACGTCTACTCTCCTTTTCATCAAGCTAATTATTGGGGTGTAGGTGGGACAAAAAAAAAAGAGTACATTTTTTTTTAAACACACACACACACCCCACAAACCATTTTAGCATTTCCACTATTTTAGTGGCAAAGGAGGGAGTTTTGCAGTGTCACTGGAATCTCCAGCAGGACCCTTTAGAAGAAAGTATGCATGGAAGAAAGGGGTAAGAGAAAGAATAAGTAAAATTAGGCAAGAGAAGGAAAAGGAAAAAGGGACTCTGGTTTCAGCGGTGTTCACAAGGGGAGTCAAAAACGTCAAGATGACAGCCACAGCTGTGACTGCCCCCTTTTTATAAGCACTGTTCATATAACACATGTAAAAAGGGGGCAAAGTTTCTACCACAGAGTCGACTTTTTTGACCACCACTCTGTGGGTGCCCATCTGAGTTAAAAACTGATACTCCATCAACAAAGTATGCAGGACTGGGGGTGGGGGCATTAATGAATCACAATCAAGAAAACATGGGACACTCACTTTGTAGAAAGAGGATATGTAAACTGGTTTAAAAATCCACATTAAAAACCCAACTGAATAAGATTCTATGGAAACCCATTAAAGTATTTAAATTTAAACTTTTCATCGCTAACTACTGGTTTCCTTGTGGAGCTTCATCAACTCATAAAGCAAATGCTGCATGCCTCAATTCCCATATCAAATGCAGTTTTACATCAGCCATGGAGGCAGGCATTGAGAGCTCTGCTGGTGATGAAGCAGAGCCCAGACAAGCCCACGGGAGTTTGCAGGAAGCTGTCCTCCATTAGGCTACTGCCCAGACTGTAGTCTGACTAGCAAAGGCCGTCTGGGTGCCACCTGCTAGCTCGTATTCCTTGGGAGTATCTGAAAAACATATTTTACTGGAAAGTTAGGAGGCTGAAGATATTTCTGAATCCCTGAGAGTACAAGCAGGAGTGCAATCTAAACAAATGCTTCACAGTTCAGTTTCTTACTAGGGTATAATTATCCACCCATCATACAACATTATTCTCAATCTGAAGAAAAGCAAAAAGTTGCAGCCCAGCTACATGACTAATCAGCACTAGGAATAAAACATCCACCATCCCCATTTTTGTGTCACTGCTGATTTTATGCCCACTTCTAAGGGAAGAAGTAAGTTGAACAACAAATGCCAAGAAATATATTACATGCATTACTGCTGAGATGCGAATGGTTAATGATCAGAACTACTAATTAGGACCTTAAGACTTAGACCTGTAAGCTCCATTGGTAAGTGTGGGTGTGTGCACGTGTGTATAGGTAGTCCTCAGGTTACAACAGCAATTGGGACCGGAATTTCCACCACTAAACAATGTGGTCATAAAGCATGATGTCGCGTGACCACACCACTTAGCAATGGTAATCCCGGCAGTCCCCATTGCTGTTGCTAAGCGAGGACTGTGTAGGTTGTTGAGCAAGGACCTCATATGACAGCGATGTGGGAAGAGGCACTGAAACTGTGTCCCAGGCAAGCAGACCGGCAGGTGAGAGCTATGGGTGGGTGCTATGGTGGCAGGCAGGTGCCATGGGGGGGGGGCTGCTACGGAGTGCAGGTGGATGGGTGCCATGGGCAGGCATTATGGAGTGTGGGCAGGTGCCGCAGGCAGGTGCTATGAAGTAGAAGCAGGCGGGCGCTATGGAGTACAAGATCCCCATGCCACCTGGGGGCTCCTCAGGAGAAAAAGGAGCGGGAGCAGGAGCAACTTGCAACCTCCTGCCAGCTTCCCCATTGACTTTGCTTGTGGGAAGCCGGCAGGGAAAGTCGCAAATGGCAATCACGTAACTGGGGGGGACTGCAACTGTCATAAGTGCAAGCTGGATGCCAAGTGCCCAAATCACAATCAAGTGACTGGGGGGATGCTGTGATGGCTGCAACTTCGAGGACTGGTTGTAAGTCCCCCTCATTCAGCACCATCGTAACTTTGAACAGCCACTGAATGAGTGGTCGTATCCTGAGGATTACGTGTATGTATATATGTATGTATGTGTGTTTTCCTTTAAATTAACAGTGGCAGCTTTTGATACAAATTTTGGGGAGAGAGCAAGAGCAATTATGCAAAGCTGGTGGGACTGTGCTACACATGTGAGTTTTGGAAGGACAATTTTAAGAAGTGACTATTTCTATCTCTATCTCTAAATACGTTAAAGTTTCAGTTCAGTTGTTGTGTATGTCCAGATTCAAAATAATAGAACACAGTATCACTGATTTATGGCAAGTTCTGTAGAGAGAATGCAAACAGAAGAATGTGGCAGCTTATTGCCCACATCTGTATCAAATTTTCTGCAAGCAAGAGGGTCACCTGTTACCTCCTATGAACTGTGCAACTGGGATTTTTTCATATCATGGAAAGAACAGGCCAACACTCACATGAACAGATGATGTAGCGTGTGCACAATTTTTTACAAAGACTAATGGCCTAACTGAACCAACTCAAAGTTATGTTCAAGAGAGCAATTCGGGATTTCAAAATGAAAAGCTGACAGACTGAAAAAACTGGACTTTCTTACCTTTCCATTTTTACAGATATAATCGAACAGTTCACCTCCTGAAACATACTCCATCACCATGAAAATATCAGATGGTGTGCTGATAACCTGGTATCTGAAAGAAATATTTAATTAATTTGCTCATATATATTCAGTGTATGAAATTAAGATCTGCACGATGAATAGCCCAATCACATACATGCTCAGATGGAAGCAAGATTTGAGTTAAAGAGGGGTTATTCACTTTTACATCAGCTTTAACAAAAGTGTAGCACAGAAGAGAAACATTTTTTTTATTCTGTTATGGCTCCAATCAATTATTGGTCATGTCACACATGGTAACATTTTTATAGCATCTGAAATAGCGACCTAGAAACAAGGAGATCTGGATGAAAGCCATCTGTCTGTTACTGTGCCTAGAACATCCATTTCAGCATGCAATGCTGAACATGCAGTTCTGTATACACCAAATGAATACATGTGAAACAAAGAAATGAGATTTCTACCCAGGTAGCTATCTACAAATTGGCAATGTAGTCATAAGGTTCCTAATTTTTAGCTCAAAACAAGTGATAAACTATTACCAGGACTTAAAGCAATTCAGTAAGTAAAACTTGGCTCCTTGGCTTCTAAATCTATTGCTACTTTTGCTCCAACTGGACACCCTAGAAAAGGATTCCCATTAGACTCAATTAAACATTCCTTTCCCTATTATTAAATTTTAACAATAAAGCTGATAGCAAGACAACTAATTTATGCTGCTTGACATAGAATTTGATCAGTTGAATATACAGGTAGTTCCCAGTTTAAGAACAAGTTTCATTCCCAAGGTCTGTCCTTAAGTCGTATTTGTACGTAAGCTGGAACAGTATTATTCTTATTCTAGAAGTAGTATTGTGTAATTAACTTGAACCATTGTGTATTTAACTTGAATCACTC